CTGTATAAAAAAAAATATTTTAAATCATGTTATTAAACCCGTTATTGAAAAAATCTAACTAAATATTATACAAGTTCGGAAATATAAACAATTTTACCTTCCCCTTCCCATATTCTTACATTCCAAGTCCGGGTTCAGCGTTCTACAAAAAATAGTAGTCCGACCTACAAAAAAAAACAAAAATAAAATTACAATAATATTAAAAAACCAATTCCCCTCCCCATTCCTTACATTATCCAAGTTCAGATTCGTTTCCAAGAGTCTGGCGTCTTAATCCTATAAAAAAATAAAGAAAGAAACGTTAGTACGTTTCTTTAATATTTAAAAATCAATTCCCCTCCTCTATTCCTTACATTTCCAAGTCCGGATTCGTTTTCAAGAGTTTGGTGTCCTAGCTCTACAAAAAAATAAAGAAAGAAACGTTAGTACGTTTCTTAATATTAAAAAAAATTCTCCTTCCTCTTTCCTTACACACATCCAAGTCCGGGTTCATTTCTAAGAGTTTGGCGTCCTAGTTCTACAAAAAAGAAAAAGAAAGAAATGTTAAAAACGTTTCTTAATTACAAAACATATAACCTTCTCCACATTACCTTTATTATATAGGTAGTTCGTCCTGGTCTCTAAGGGTCTAGTGTTCTACAAAAAATAGGAGTCCGACCTACAAAAAAAAATAAAAATATATATATATATATTTTTTTTTTTTACTGTGTACTGTGTATCAATGAGTTATAGTCATATGACATACACATAGTTTGATAATCTGTAGATTATCTATTATAAAAAAGGCTGGATCGGGGATTTAATAAACGTTTCTTTTTTTTCAGGTTGCTGGACAAAAACTACGACCAGACTTTTGGATTATGTAAGTGGAAAGGGGGATAATATTTATTTTTTGAGAAACGTTCCTAACGCTTCTCTTTTTCTTTTTTTTTAGGTTACCAGACAAATAATACGAACCGGACTTTGAAATTATGTAAGTGAAGGAGAGGAAGGATAATATTTTATTTTTTTAAGAGAAATGTTCTAACGCTTCTCTTTCTTTTTTTTTTAAGTTGCCAGACGAATAATACGAACCGGACTTTAGAATTTAGGTAAAAAAGGAGGTCAGGAAGTTGATTTTTTTTATTATATTCTTTAAGAAACATTACTAAACGCTTCTTTCTTCTCTTTTTTTAGGTTTCTGGACGAAAAACTACGAACTGGACTTTGGAATTATGTAAGTGAAGAAAAGGAGGGATAACATATTTTTTTTTAAGAGAAACGTTCTAACGCTTCTCTTTTTCTTTTTTTTTAGGTTGCTGGACGAATAATATGAACCGGACTTTGGAATTTAGGTAAAAAAGGAGATCAGAGAGTTAATTTTTTTTATTATATTCTTTAAGAAACGTTACTAAACGCTTTTTTCTTCTCTTTTTTAGGTTTCTGGATGAAAATTATGAACCGGACTTTGGAATTTAGGTAAAAGAGGGTTGGAGAGTAGGTTTTTTTATTAATTTTTTAAGAAACGTTATTGAACATTTCTTTCCTTTTTTTTTCAGGTTGCCAGACGAAAATTACGAACTGGACTTTGGAATTATGTAAGTGGAGGGGAGGAATAACATAATTTTTTTAAGAGAAACGTTCTAACGCTTTTCTTTTTCTTTTTTTTAGGTTGCCGGATGAATTATACAACCCAGAAATAAAAAATTTGTAAATCGGAATGCTGTTCATCTTTATTAAATGAATGTTTTTTCAAAAGCCAATCAGTCACTAATCGGCTATTCTTTTGGTAGCTGATTTTCTTTAATTAATACAATTTTACATATTAAAGTAACAAATAAAAATTCTGAACTCTTAAAACTATCAGATATTGCAAACCAATTAGTAACCAATCGGTCACCAATCGCTTATATCAGATTGGTGACCGATTGGTGACCGATTGGTAACTGATTGTTAATAATAAATTTAATATATTTATCAGAACAAGTTCAAAAGCTTGGATTATGTATAATTTGACTTGCTTTACAAGACTATAATGCTAATTTTTTAACTTTAATACGTAAATCAAATATTGTAAACTAATCAGTAACCAATTAGTTACCAATCGGCTATGTCAGATTGGTGACCGATTGGTGACTGATTGGCAATTTATGCCTGATTGGTGACCGATAGGTAACAGATTGAAAGAATCGGTCACTAATAGGTAACCAATCAGCTTTCAATCAGTCACCAATCGGTCATATGACCGATTGGTGACTGATTTTTCATATTTCGACCTGTGTTTATTAATATTATATATAAATTATATATCCTCTTATAATGAATTTTTGTCCTGAACATCAACAATATCTTGTCCAAGTTCTGGATTGTCCTATCCTATCCTATTCAAGAACATGTTCCAGTTCTAGTCACAATACTGCTCATAGGGTTCTTCCATCCATCAGCAAAATAATATACAAATGATCCAGATTAATACTCTTTGTTTTAAGCCTCATTTATTAATGGATATGTTTATTTAAAGGAAAAAAATATAAAGAGTTGGTATATCAGGATGAAAATTCATAAACTTGAAAAAATGGAGCCTTTTTATAATTCTATTTAATGGCTGTGATAATTATCTTAAGTCTATAGATACATTAAGCTAAGTTTGCTTGCCTAAACCTTTCCAAAATTCTACGATTAGTTTCTCCAAAATTTTACTATAGTTTTATTATAGTTTTGGCAAGGTTTTGGCAGTTTCAACATTTATAATAGGTTTTGTCAGGTTTCACTTTTCTCCAGAGTTTTGCCAACTTTTTAATAAGACTTTCATATAGTTTCAGCAAAATTTCGCTATTTTGGCATTTTGCCAACTTGCCAAAACCCCTGAGTTTCTCCAGCAACCTTACTGATTATTAAGCTCAACCTAAAACTTTTTGCTTTAAATAATCTAATGTTTTTAATTTTGATGATTTCTTTGCTAATTAATTTGAATTAATAAAAATTAAAAATTAAAAATTACCTAATTCTATTAGCTTTTCTAATTTGACTAATTTACATAAATTTAAATAGTAAGTAACATCAAACCTTTAGTCTAAATGATTAACATTTTAGTACCTTAGCTTTTTTAAAAAAAAACTAAAAGTAAAAATACCAAAATTTTAGAAAAAAAAGAAAAACTAAAAAATAAAAAAAAAAGTCATAATCTTGAAAACTTTTAAGAAAAAAGTTAAGTAAAAAAAATAGTAAATACTAAAATTTTCATTTATCACTACAACTCTTTAAACATCAACTAATAATAAAGAAGAAGTCCACTTTCTAAGTCATTAAATGATCATTTTTATTTCAACTTGTACTTCAAAAAGAAACCTTTGTAACACTTTAAAAATAAAGAAATTAATGGAAAAACTTTACACTAATATAAAGTTCAAAGTCTAGTCATCTAGTGTGTAATTATTACAACTGTCAGAAACTGCAATAGAAGAAAAGTTTGCAAAAGTAAAATTATCTTTAATAAAAACTACTTTAAGTTACCAAAATAAGAAGTTAAAGGTCTATTTAAGTCTTAAAAGGATTACTGACTAATTTTAAAAATACTTTACAATCAGTAAGAAAATTCAAGTTTTTTCTTTAGTAACTTCTGCTAAAAAAATGGCTAAGTGATTGGCAAATAAGAACTGAATGTGATTTTTATAGATTTTATTTTATTAATAAATAAAATCCTTAATTATTATAAAATTTTAATAAATATAATCAAATATAATAACTTTATTAAATTATACTACTAGTGTTCAATACCATATAAATATATATTTTTATAAAAACTGTAACTTAAATAAAAAATTTAAAAAATTGCATTTTACTGGTATTTTATATAAGAAATTATGAGCTTTATTGGCTGAATTTTAAATTATATGATATAAAATTAGTTCAGAAAATTGAAATAAAATTATATTATTGGTGAATATAAACTTCTAGTACTATATAATTTTTTTATTTTATATTATTAATAATCTAATTAACATTTTTTATTAATAAAATATTATAATTAATATTGATAATATTTAATATTATAGCATATATACTTTACATACTGTAAAGTCCCGAATATAAGCAACCTTTTTTTATTATAGGAGTGCTTATATTTGGGTAAATTTATATATTTGGTATATTGTAGTATTGGCCAAAATTATCATAATGTTGGTCAAGGGTGCTTACTTTCGGGTAATATAAAAATCCGGGGGTGCTTATATTCGGAGGGTGCTTATAATCGGGACTTTACGGTATATTTTTCTTAGTTTTTCAATTTTTTTTCTTTATTTTGTAATATTTGTAATATAAAAAAAAGAGTATTAAATAAACTTTTTTTGGAAAATAAGATAAAACATAAGAAAAAGTAAAAAAGTGGATTTCAGTAGCTACTACTTTATAAAAATTATATAATAATAAAATTCTTTTGAAGAAAAACTTTGCAAGAAAACAAAAAATTTTCTGTAAAGGAAAATAATAAGTTCTTATGAACTCTTTTAAATATAAAGGAGGGATAATAAAAAGTGTGTTGTTTTAACCAAGGAACACTTTTGCCTTAATACTGAAGTACTAGTTTCCTATTATTTTAATGAGAAAAAAGCGGTTTATTTCTTATGTGAAAACTGGATGTGAACGGTATGGGGAAGAGTTCTTTTAATTTCTGTTTTTTATAATTAGTTTTTTATAATTAAATTTATTATAAATTTTTATTGTCAATTATTAAAATAAATTAAATATTTTTATATTAATAAAATTTTAATAACATTATTTTATATTGGAAAATTATATCAAAATTATTAATTTAATAATAAACAATAAGAATAATGCAAAAAAAATGTATAATATTGCAAGCATAAATATTTCTTATCTATATTAAATAAAAAATCACTTTGTATCATATTTCAGTAAATATTGATTATTACTATTAACCAAATAGTATAAAATTTATTAAATTTAGATTATTAGTTAATTAAAAACAGGGGTATGTAGTTTAAAATTTTTGAAAAATACCCCTGAAATAAGCAAACTTCGAGTGTAAGATTTGTTCGGGTACTTTCTGCTCTATTGAAAATATCTTAAAAGTTATGAAATTTGTGTAATTAAGATATTTAGCAGTTCTCATCATTTTATAAAATGTACAAAATTGAATAACAAATTGATACAAATGAATCAAATACATCATATAAAATTAAGGATTATTTTTAGCTAATTCTATCAATAAGTTAATGTTTTTCTCAATCTCGGCTAATCTATTTTTATTTCCAAATGGTTCATTGTTTTCACTATTCACATAATCTTTTTTGGTTGAGTTGTTGGAATGAATTGATTCTCTTCTGTCTTTTCCACCATAATTTGAATAGCCAATATTGTTCCTTCGTCTACATTTTTCTAACCAACGGTTGGCTTCATCACAATTAATTATAAAGTAAATATGTCTTGGAAATAAAACTTTATCATGTAATTGTCTTTTAGTTAAGAAAAATACTTCCACTTCAGCAATTAATTCAGCTCGTAACTTAAGAAATGCTCTTTTACCAATTTCTTTTGCTTCATCGACAACATCCCTTAAGAGAGGAAAGAATAGAAAAATTAATAAAGTTCGACTACCCATAAATCAAATAATTAAAATAAACCAACAATAACTTTTAATAACTGTTAATACTTACGACATTAAAGCAATTAAAATATTTTGCATAATAATAACCAAAAATAAACTACCGAATATGCTTAAACCAACAACAGGCCAAAAATTCCATTGATCTATTTGATCCCATTGTCCATTTATCCAAAAATATACAGCTTTTATTGACGTAAAAAAATTATGGAATAAATTATCATTATCACTATTTACGTCAATGTTTTGTGTTAACGTATAACTTTCTTGTGTTGCAGTATTTAATAAAGTGTAAGTATTTTGATCTGGTATAAGATTTATATCATTCGGACGACTTAACAAGATGAACCTGTTTGTTTGTAAAAAGAAGTAAGTTAACAAAGTGATTAAATAATATAGAAGAATTTTAATATTTTATAACTTTATATTTACATTGAGTGGGCTAGCCCACAGATTACAACAAGCATAGTGCCTAGAAAAGGAGCAATTCTCTTTGATAGATTAATGATTAAAAACACGTATTCTCCGATAACTATAAAAATATACAAAGAGGGAAAAAGTTAAAAAATCTTATTAATTATATGCGTCAAAACGTCAAAAATGAAATATACATACTTTGTAAGGAGCGCATTCTCATTAACTAAAATAAAAAAAAAAAGAGGGTTATGAGCTATTAAATACAATAATTATATATATTTATATGTGAACACTATAAAAGCTTACCAACTCAATCCATAAAGTGAGCATCGTGATGGATAATAAAATCAGTACTATTGAATCAGTTTTGATATTTTCGAACCCATTATTGTTTAATTTCCATTGAGAATATGAAAATACTAATAAGAGTGTTGTAGAAAGTAATGGTAAAATTCCACTTAACAGATCAAAAAGATTATAAATTCGGAAATAATTTTTTTTAAGAAGTTTCCCTTGACTAGCCTCACAAATCAACAAAAATATGCCAAATAATAATATCCAACAAGCAAAAGGATAAAAAAAGACCCATTTCCAATCATTTGAAGACAAATGTGCAATATAAGCATAACATAAATACGTAAAGCATAATTGGTAAAATCCATAAAGAGCAAGAAGGAAGTAAATAATTTTTTTAGCATATGTACACCATTTAAAGTCAACTATCGCTTCCATTGCGGGATTATCAAATATAAAATCCATATTATCATTTGATGATGATATCACCATCTGAATAAAAGTTGATTGTTTTGAAGTTTCATCCTTTTCATCTTTTGGTACGGTAAAATCTGGCAATGGGACCATACACGCCATTACCCATGGGGCCGCATTTTTTAAGTCCAATAGTTTATTATCAGTGGTGTTTGGAGATTTGTTTAGTTTGGTTTGAATATCGTGAAGGACGTGTAGAGAATTCTTTGTACCAGGAAGAGAAATTTCTGACATTATACTCGCTTCACTCAAATGCGGCGCTTCTTTTGATCCAAAGATCTAAATTTGGAAAAAAAAGAATGTGGCGCGGTAAGTAAAGATGATATTATTACGTAAAATGCAAAAAGACGCGACTTGATTTGGGTATACGGAATACTGACAGGTTGATAAAACAAGTCCACTACGTAATCTACAAAAATTTTCAAGTTACTAAACGATCAAATTAAATCACATTTTTAAATATATTATTTATACATAAATTTACCTGAATTGTATTTAAGTAATTCTAATAATTCATCAGACACGGTAAACATCCAGCCAGTATGATCCATGGCAAGAATTGAATAATATCTTACAAGACCTTTGACTGCATTTTTGTTTTTATGATCAATAGCAATTTTCAAATCACTGGGTTTTCTCAAACAATCACCATTTAAACGCTTTTTTTCTTGCTGAGGAATTTGAGGAATTTCCCGATTTAAAATTTTTCTCTTAACATCAATTAATCTAATTAATCTATTGCATTCATCACTTTCTCTTTTGGACCAAGCATATCTTCTTGGATTATGTAACATTAAATCTCTCTTTTCATAAACAATGTATGAGATTAAATCATCACATCCGGCGGCCACCAAATGAGACATAATACATTCTTTTATATCTAATAATTTCCAAGTTTGTGGTTGTTCGTTAATAAATTTTTTTATAAGTAACCTCGTCTCTTGAATAGTTTTATTCAAATATCTACGTAATTTGTTATCTAGATATTTAGTATGTTTCATTTGCCACTGTAAAAATTCAATTGCATTACATGCAGATTTAATATAATCTTTTTCTCTCGGTAGATGCTTAGAAATATCTTTATCACCGAATGAGAATCTTATTTTATATTGATATTGATGATTGGAAAATTTCTTTAAAATGAATCTATGTATTTTACAATGATCGGATCTAGAATAGGATAGGGAAGAAATAAGGGAATCTGTAGGTTTATTGAAGGTATCAATGTAATAACTTCGGGATAATAAGGGAGCCCAAATATATACAAGTTTTTTATGTTCTTCCCATACTTGTATAGTTTCATTACCAATAATTAATTGGATAGTTTTTTTATCATTTAACCAAACTACTATTTGTGATTTATCATCACTATTATTCCATGGTTCACTATCCTTTATTATAAGCTTATGACGATCGAAACGGTCAAGTAATTTTCCATTATGATCAAAAACTTTATAATGATTTTTCTTGTCGTTAACTTCATTAATATTAATTTTAGTAACATATTTATTCCAGCGGACTTCCTCTTGATCGAACGGAATTAAATAAACTCCATTGTTTCCATTAACAAATTGAGAAGGGTAAACCAAATAATTAGAAAAAATTCCTAATGGTCTACCTTTACTTTGTTTATATTTTCTCATTCCATAATCGATGGGTTCTTCAAGAGATTGTAAACTAGAAGGATCCAAATGAGCTGTATATGGATTGTGTATATTACAATTAAATAAATCCCATATCGTAGTATAGACTTCATTATTTCCTTCTTGTGTTAATACTACCAATTTTTCATCATTATCATAAAATTTCATATCAAGAATTTTTGCCGAGGATGAATTATCACTATCAGACTTATTGCAGAAATCATGAATCGCTACCATTAAACTATTTTCTATCAAGAATATAGCAATGGATTTTTTACAAAGACTAACGGCCATCAATTTACCATTTTCGGATATAGCATATAACGGAGTTCTAAATCCTCCATCATTATTATATTCACATCCTAAATTGTCAATTCCAATTTTTTTCGTATGAAATACATGTTTTAATTCAAAGTCACGTAAATCGTACATTTCAAAAATATTATTTTCTCGAGTACTTTTACACAAAAAAAAGTAATGTTTCACAACAGTTCTACTTAGTAACGCCTTACTTGACTTTAAACTGCACATTTTTAATTCACGTATCATTGATTCTTGGTATTGAAATTGATCCGGATGTAATGTAAAATTTAAAATTTTATCTTCTTCAAGAACTATTCGAGTAAATTCTGTACCACGGAGAATTATTAGTGTATTTGAATCGATAAATTCGACTATTCCTCCTCTTAATCCTCTAATAGTAGAAGAGTCAATTATTCGATTGGTTTTATCAGCTTTAACGTGAATTATAATGATGGCATGTTCTTCTCGATAACTAGGTATGGAGTCAATTGAAAATGCAAAATTACTTGAATCAACAGATAAATTATGTTGATGCGTGAATATAGGCGTTGATGCAACAGATAGATTGTTTTGATGATGCGTATTTCTAGAATTTGGATGAGAACTTACAGATGGATTGCTATGATGTGTATATTTAGATATCGAACTAACAGATGAATTGTTATGATGTGTATATCTAGATACTGAACTGACAGATGAGTTGTGATGATGGGTAGGTATTGAACTGATAGATGAATTGTTTTGATGGGTAGGTATTGAACTGATAGATGAATTGTTATGATGGGTAGGTATTGAACTGATAGATGAATTGTTATGATGGTTAGGTCTAGAAGCCAAAACAGCCGAATTATTATGATAAGTGAGTGTGGAATCTGAATCAATAGATGGGCGATTATTATGATGCGGGATAGAGGAAGATAAACTACTAACTACTTCTTGTAAACTCTCTTCGGTTTTCTCTTCTTCTTTTCTCTTTTTTCCTTTTACATGGAGGTCTTGCTCATATACTTTTGATATTACTATAAATATATTATTGTTTTTATCTCTATCACTTATTGCAATTGACCGTGAGAATAATGCGGAATCTGTGGTTGAGGATTGATGATGTTGCCAAAAATGCTCTATTGGAATCAAGTTTTTATCTATTAATTTCCATGTTTGTAATGTATTATTTGCTATATTTAAATAGAGAAAAAATATATTATTTTAGTAACGCATTTAATGCTGTTAAATGTCAAACATCATACTTACAAATGTCTAAAGAAGCTAGTTCTTTGCCGTTTGGGCTAACACTTATTACAAAATTATTTTTATGATGATCATATGGATACGTCATTATGTTAAAGTGTTATATTAAATAAAAGATGAAAGGTTTAGATAAAAGAATAAAAACTAAGCTTGCAAAATGGAGAAACAACAAAAAAATCTGTATGATAGAAATAAAAGAGATATGTGCAATAATCTCAAATGACATACAAAGGATAATTGGATTTGTAATAAAGGAAAGTCGTAATCTAAGTTAATATTATATGTATCGCATAAAGTAGTTAGTAATTAAGTAAAATAGGTAGGAGGATGGTGGAATGTTCTCGAAGAGAGAACAAGGAAAATGAGGATGAGGAAAAAACGAGGAGAGAAAACGGTGAACACCAAAAAGAAAAATTTTTCTCAAACACCATCTTTTATATAATAATTTAGCTCCGTAATTTTTGTTTTTTTAATATACTTTTAAGCAAAAAAAAACTAATTGGATGGAATTTCGTGCCATAAATTTATATGAAGCAAACAGACAAGTGTAATGCAACATTACTTAATTGCAGCTGCTTCTTCCGCATTCAAATTTCGTGGCTTGAATTCATTACTGCCTCTTTACAATTAAAGCTTGGTATAAAAAAGGAGAAATAACAATGTATTTCTGTATTACAAATAAAAATATTCATCTAATTTGCAGATAGGTTTCAATTACTTTACCGTGTGACTTGTTTATAATTATCATTTCTATTTCAAGAAAAAAAAATCCAATAATTTACTGTAAACATTTATATTTTTCTCTTTATTCTCCAAACTTGCATCAACGTGTAATGCGAGATTGGCAATTGAAAGCAAAAATTCACTGTTAAGGAAATTGAATGATTTTCAATAAATAGACAATTAATTTCAAACAGCTAAATCCTACATTCTTTTATTATATACAGTACAAGAAAGAAATATTTTATCACTAATCCTTTTTTTACCTAAATAATTTAATCATTACGATCTTTTAGCAACTACACGTTAAATTTAAAGATTAATACATGTAGTCATAATAAAAAGAGAATCTTTTCGATCGTTATACATTTGTTATTTCTCGGAGTTTAATCAAGATTGTATTTATTAATTGTTTAATTGCCAAGAACTAAGATACTTGAATTAAAAAATAATTGTACTACAATTTCAAAATAACCTTTTTTTTGAAATTACCAAGATGTTTTTTAATATGGTCCAGATCCTTTGCTGAAATTCAAATATTTATTTTATTTTTATTTTTATTTTTATTTTTATGTTTCAGAGCTTTGATTTTAAAATATTTATTAACGAATTTACCTGGTGTAATAAACATAATCTATCACGTGATTGTAATTAGAGATTCTTTTACAAACCCTTGTTCTGGTTTCACACTACTTATTATTTACAACCAACGTGTAAAAACATCATTCCTAAAACTAAACGATTTAAAATATGCGAAGTATTTCCAAGCCAATAACATAATTATTTCTTCTCTACTATAATAACTACAGTAACCTACTATATACTATATATAAATAGATAAAAAATAGTTTAATTTTTTACAAATAGATTTACGTTTTTTTGAAAGTACAACTTTTTTCATTGTCTATAACTAAATATGGCATAATAACCATAAATAGTTATTAATATTATTTAAATATTAATCATTATAAAGAATTTTAACTTTATTTTACTTATTAAATAAAAGTTAAACCTATTACGATTTTCAGTGGGTGTTCAAACACGGGTTTCTAAAAAAGTAAATTGTCTATGCTGATCATTTAATGTTGAATTAAATTTAACGAAAAAACAGAGAATTTGTTATATAAATCAAAATTGACATTCAATATCAATATATACTGTATATATATATATTAAGTAAACTTGCAGAACAGACAAAAATACACATACTTCATGTTCCTTTTAAAATTATATTTATTAAAATTTTTTTTTTTAAAATAACTTTTTAATAAAGTCACGTAATATGTATAAACACCTAGTGTAAATTAAGAAATTTTCTAATATATAATAAAAATTAATTTAATGAAATAATATAAATTAATATATTTTTAATTTTTAAATCTTCATGATATATATTTTGATTTATTTTTGTTATAGTATTATTATTATTATTATAATTGAACTAAATATTATTATTTCTATAAAATTGGAATTAAAAATATTTTTAATACAAATAATTAAATAATTAAGCCAAGAAAATTACAAAATCTATATCTATAATATTTAAACTAAAAACTGTTATTTAAATGATAATTTTAATTTAAAATCTATAAATCTATTGAAATTAATATTAGAAATAATTTTTTTTACTTTAGAATTAAAATTAAATTAATGTATTAAAATAATAATATAATTCTAAAAATTAAATTAATTTAAAATCAAAGTTAAATTATTAGTATACTAGAAATTAATATAACATCATGAAATTAAACCAAATAAAACCTTATGTTTACCAAATAGTAATATTTAATAAATATTAAAATTTTATACTTATTAAACAATAAAAAATAAATGCTTAATAATATTAAATTTGATTATTTATTAAGTATTTAAAAAATTAAATACTTTTTTAATACTTTAAATCAGTATTTATAAATACTTTTTAAATATATACTATTTACTTAAAAGTTTCTAATGATTTTTAAAATGTACGACAAAAATGGATTTTGTGTAACTAAAATAAGGGATTTTTTGTTACAATAATAATAAATAAATAGTAACCATCATACGTAATGTTTATTTTTTTCTTCATTTCTTCATTAAGTGAAATAAAATGGTCAAAACAAAAGAGCTATCAAATTTTGAGTGTAGAAGAATTATTGGTCTTTATGAAACTGAAAATCCAGAAAGAACAATTTTAAGAAAAACTGGTTATAGAAAGATTACTATCCATAATATTATAACAAAATATCATAAAACAGGTATTTTAACCATCACTTTACAAAGTAGATATCCAAAAAAATTAAATGAACATAATAA